CTGGCGAGGGGCATTAGCAACTGTAAACAACAGACCCGTCCTCTCGTCAGAGAGAGCGCCTCACATCAACAAACCCGCAACTGTCTGACAGTAATAAAATCTGGTCGTAAGCCCCAGATGGGTGCTTTATTCCAAGACAGACTGGCCGACTGACCGTCGGTCGTAACATATGACTCGACTCGACTCGACTCGCAGGAGTCAGCCGTACTAGAGAGTGTAGTAGAGAGATCCAGGTTTCGGCGGACTAGAGGCCAGCTGGAGATTCAGACAGCAGCGAGAGATTCGTTATCCAGGAGTTCAATGTGTGAGTTGTTATAATCAACATTGATTGTAATCGAAGTGCCAATAAATCCAATTATAAAATCTAGAATCCACAATTATTCAGTTATACGTGACACTATTGCGACGGACTCGGACTCGAATCTCTACCCTAAGACCTACTGACTGAGGTTTTCCTTAGCTCATAAAAGAAAGCGCTGGTATAATACATGAAAATAAACCAGGAACGCTTCTTTTTGCGCTGTGGGTTGACAGTTGGTTTGTGGGTAGAGCGATAGGCCTATTAGTGTGTTTGACAAATCGATATGCGGTTCGTTGTAATGTGTGATAAGGCATAGCCTTGTCAAGATCAGGTTGGTGTATATAATTGAAGCATAGTTTGCTTTTTGCGCGATGTGCTTTTCGGTTTGTAAAGAATTCAGACAAACATTGCTCATGCCAAATGAATAAGGCAGTACAGATCAATATGCATCCGGTACCAATATAAGCATAAGAAATTTCCTGTACTGTACTGCACTACTGTATGGAAACAAACCGATTCTTGAAATAAGAGCAATTTTTGTTGGATTTGAGGTTCTTCCTACGGTTACTAGTATCTTCCGGGATGTAAAGCCTTATAGTCCGGTGGAAGAACACCGGCATTTCAGAGGAATATATTGGCAATACGGGTGTGAAACTTGGTCTCTGACATTAAGGAAGGAACATACGTAGAATGAGGACGTTTCAGAACAGCGTACTGAGGAGACTATTTGGACCGAAGAGAGATGAAGTCAGAGGAGGTTGGAGAAAACTTCATAGTGAGGAGCTTCATAACTTGTACTTTTCTCCAAGTATAATTAGAATGATCAAGTCAAGGAGGATAAGATGGGCATGGCATGTAGCACGAATGGGGGATACGAGGAATGCATATATGATATTGGTGGGAAAACCAGAAGGAAAGAGACCACAGGGAAGACCAAGGTGTAGGTGGGTGGACAATATTAAAATGGATCTTAGAGAGATATGATGGGATGGTATGGATTGGATTGATCTGGCTCAGGGTAGGGACCGGTGGATGGCTCTTGTGAACACAGTAATGAACCTTCGGCTTCCATGAAAGGCTGGGAAGTTCTTGAGTATTTGCAGAATTGGCGGCTTCTCAAGAAGGGCTCAGCTCCATGAAGACAGTTAGTTAGTTAGTTAGTTAGTTAGTTATATTGGCACGACCAGTATTGTTCTTCTTCGGATTTCGTATATTAGGTTCTAGAACCATCATGCTGTTCGCTAATGAAATTGTTCCAGATAAGGGTGGCGTGTTTTGGCTCCCACTTTCTTTAAATTCAGAATTCGCATGCCCCCCTCTTGAATGATGCATCAGGATAATTTTGAGAACCTGTTATCATCCGTTAGACGAATTGAAACAAGTTATTTCTGTATGCGTGGAGTTTGTCTTCTGAAAATTCTCTTTTGACTTGTAAAATGTCTTAATCTATTTTGTGGTCCTGGCGGGTGCATTCTGTCGTTCAACTGGCCAGCTCACACCTCCTTTCGTCACACTGTCACGTGTGCAAATGTTCACTGCCATAAGGAAGGGGCAGTTATAACCCTGAGTTAAATGCACTTCCACGTATCGTCACCAGAATGCAGGACTGTAAAAATAACTTGATCAATCCTTCGAAAATATTTTGGAACTACATAAAATTATATTCGCGAAAAGTTAGGAATTGGAAGATTAAATCCGAGAATGGTTGGTGCCGTTCGTTTCAGCCTACTTTCCTTCCCATCTCGCACATACAGAACCAAACATTAGAGCATTATATTGTACTTCTTATATGGGTATGAAGCTTGTCTCTTGCCCAAAGAAAAGAGCATAGATTGAGAGGTTGGAGAATAAGGAAGCTGAGGAGAATGTTTGGACCGGGGAGGGGGGAAATAGAAGAACGGTGGGGAAAGGACCATAATGAGAAGCCTCACTGGTAAAGGTAAATTTGTCCCTGTGTGTAACTAATTAAACACTACGCCGTGAAGGTGTTTGGGGGAGTGAATGTATAGACCCACGTTTACTTGACCTTAGCACTAGTTGGAGTTGAGTGATCAGCTTCACGCCTCGGCCGCTTTACCACCGAGGAAATACCCCCGTTATCCATTGGATAGGAGGTTGGGTGGGCCCCAGAACCGGTCTGGACGACATGGAGAAGTGAAAATTCTTGCCCTCACCGGCACTGGAACTCCGACCCCTTGGTCGTCCAGCCAGTCGCCAGTCGCTGTACCGACTGCGCTATCCCGGCTCTCAACCTCATTGAGAAATACAAATAAATTAAAAATTTCCAAGGGAACATTCTTGGAACCCTGCCATTATTTTAGGCAGAGTCGAAGGACGGAAGTCATTTTGAGATAACACAGAAGATAGTGACCGTATGCAGCAAGTGAGGACTAACAACACAATTAAGAAATGCGTGCGATACATGCATACTCTCATCGCTTTCATAAAGCCAATTAATATTTACGAGTTGAACATGTTTATAGATGCCAGCATCTATTCAGGCAGACTGCATATTGTTCCGTACTGTACTGTACTGTACTGTACTGACTTGAACACTAATGAAATGAACATGTGACATTATGAATTTACATGACAAAAACTTCTAAGGCTTCATGTCCAAACAGATTGCGATAGATTTTTACGTGACCTTTGAATTCAATGCGAACTGAACGCACAATATTTCCCTGAAACTACACGTTACATCCAAAATAGAATTTTGCGTACCATCTTATTTGTTTGTGTTTTGTAATGATTGTCAAAATATGGATTATTCTAGTCTCTGTGTCTTAAAGAGAATTTAAGTGTTCACAGTTTTTAATTATTGTTGTGTAAAATCCTTTGATATTTGGATTAGGCGAAGTAAGAAACGCACTTTCACGTATATTTTGGCATGTAACATAGCATTTTCTTTTAATTTTATTTTTCTGCTTTTGCGGGAAATTTGGGATCATCAACCTGTAGGCGTATTTGCGCCTTCAAACCAATTTTATTCCATGCCTAAAATGATCGTGGGATTTGTGGTGGACAAAGTGGCGCTGGGGTAGATTTTCTCCGAGTACTTCGGTTTCCCCTGCCAATCTTCATTCCACCAATTGCTCCACAATCACCCTCACCTATCATCTGGGGCTGGTACAATAGGCCAGAAGTGGCCGCAGTACAAGAGACTTAGTCCCACCCCACTAGCAATAAAAGAATAATAAAACAAATCCATTGTACTGCGGCCACTTCTGGTCTATTGTACCAGCCCCAGATGATAGGTGAGGGTGATTGTGGAGCAATTGGTAGTGAGTGATCCTTCGGGTACGGTAAAGTGCTGGGATAATACGGAGTAACTCCTTTATGTGATATTAAAATAGAAGAGATGTCATAGTCATCCACATAAATATTTTCAATTAAAATTTGAGAAGATATATTAAATTATTTAAATTGTGAGAAATGTCTGTATTTCAAAGATGTGGACTTTGTAACACGATTCTTCCTTCCCATTTCTGAGGGATGTCGCGATCGGCTGCAACTTGCAGTCCTTGGGTTGAGTATCACTGGCCGATTGCTTTAGTGCGAGTTACGAGCCCAAAGAATCGTTAAGTTTTGCTCTGTGAGTGCTACTGTTCAGAGTGTTTGCTGCACCTATGTCAACAATTTCTGGACATCTTCCAACTCCAAACAAGATACAGCTCAAATGAGCGACCTTGCCATGCATAAGCTTGTTTTGTAATTACGTCTGCGGCCTGTTGTTTACATGTTACGCGATTAAATTCGCTAAGTCCTCGAATAATATCTGAACAGTTCATACAATCTCAGTACATGTGTACACTTTGAGAGATGGGATTACACTGAAACTTGTTTATTCATTTATTTAACAAAGCTTTATCAAGTGAAGGTATTTGAGAATAGAGTTCTGAGGTGGTGTTTGGATCTAAAAGAGGACGACAGAGAAAATTGCATAATGAGAAGTTCCTGCATAGCAACAGATCTGTTTACAGAGCCTTTGCCAAGCAACGGCTGTCTGTGCTGGCTTTCAATTCCGGCTCTCAGCAGACATGTGACAATATTATTCGAGGAATTCAAGTTTCTTGAAATATATAGATCCATTTAATGGCAGTAATTGATTCGGCATGTTTCAAAATGAGATATCTGGTAACGAGAGTAAGAGCCAGAAACGTGATTCATGTTATAGTTACTAGTTAATGCTCCCTGGTACATATCAAACGCTACCTTACACAATGATCTAAGCATACCATATGTAACAGAAGTCGTCAGAGCATACGCGGAGACACACAAAAACCGTACCACTCAAAACAACAACCAACTAATAAGAAACCTCTTCAAGCAACCAGCAACAGAAAGAAGACTAAACAGAATGTGGCTAGAGGATCTCATTAGATAAGCACCAGATAATCATCGGAGGATGATACCTGCTTCAATATTACACACACCCATCCCTTTTACTAATTACTCTATTTATGTATATTGAGTAGAGTGTAAAATTATTTTAAAATAAAAAAAATGTTATAGTGTAAATGCTTCTCGTTACATGTGATCCCATCTGTTGCGGGTGTAGAACGGACGTAACTTTAGTGGAAGTCCTCTTGGAAGAAGACCGGTTCGAGAACATGGAAGATGGGTGTTAGGACAGGGGACGGATGGCAATGGCAGGCTTTGGTGTTAGCGATAATTTGCAATATAAATGCGTTCCTACCTTTGCTGACGGAAGCAACGTAGAGGCCCTGTGCTGCGACGAGGTCTCTGTGGTCCTGTCCTCTCTTCCGGCTCTGCCTTTCCTTCCTGTTTCCTCTTCCAGACACACCTGTGATAGTCCGGTCCTGTCAGCAGATCTTGTTGGTCTAAGTTGTTTTGCAGACGTCTTTGAAAAATCCTCTCCGCCGCGGATTTTCTGAAGTAGCCGTAGTAGAGGAACATTCGCGTCGACGTCACTAAACTCCACCCACACGGAGATTAGAACACCTGCACTGTGTTCCAGAAACACAAGTACACCTGTACGCTCAGCTTCCCAGTGTCAGAGTTCTAAAAAACTGTAGCTTGCTGGAAGGTTCAGAATTAATTGTTGAAATCAGAATTACATTTTAATATTATCAAATTAATCATATTATGTTCTTCGCTCCATTAATGATGCGATTTGGTATACGTTTTCTCTTTGGTGTTGATGTTTTCCTTAAATGCTGACATTATATTTGTAATGGGAGAATTTAATAACCCGGATGTAGGTTTGTAGAAGTTGGAATGACTTGAACGTATCAGGTTAATTCTTTCTTCTATTTCATCACCTTTTCATGAAAACCGGATACCGTGTTAAAACTTCTTCAAAATGTATGTGAATTCATTTACACGGACGGATAATAACAACGTGAAAGTCAAATTTAGTTGTTAAACTTGGACGTTGGTTGCGAGTTCAAGATATTCCTCGTTCTCTTCCCCGATTGTCCAATTAAGCTTTTGGTACTTGTGGTCTCTCATGTAGGTTTTGTAGTGGGGTGGGACTAAGTCCCTTGTACTGCGGCCACTTCTGGCCTATTGTACCAGCCTCAGATGATAGGTGAGGGTGATTGTGGAGCAATTGGTGGAATGAAGATTGGCAGGGGAAACCTAAGTACTCGGAGGAAACCTGCCCCAGCGCCACTTTGTCCACCACAAGTCCCACTTCACTAGACCCGGGATCGAATCCGGGCCGCCGCGGTGGGAAGCCAGCGACTAACCGCTTGAGCTATGGTGCGGCCTACTCGTGTAGGCTTAAATCACTGGATTTTTTTTTCTTCTGAAAATCCTATGCTGTGGTCTCCCACAAGTATCGAACTTTGTTCAAAATATTTTAAATTCTTTACAGATTTTTCTTTGATATTTTCTGTAACATTAATCCCCCACTTCACTTTGAAACTTCCTTATTTTTCTAATTGTTAATTCTGAAAATTATTGGTCGAAACACGAGAAATCTGTCGAACTATCTGTTTTTCAGAGGAGGGGACATTATCTACATTCTCCCATAGTCTCGATACATGACGATGTTTTGTTGACCACGTCCACGGGTGATGCGTTCTCTGGTCTGGAACAGCTGGCACTGGCGTCGGGAACCCGTGCTACGCGACATCACGTGCGGCCACCAGATTGGAGGGGTAAGGGGTCCAAATATCAATCATACTCCCTGTAGAAACTGAACGAGGACGTTTTTGATTTTGGTATTTGGGGTGGTGCGTATTCAGCTTCACACTTCGACCGTCTTTATTTCCGTAAAGAGAAAAACAGAAACTCAAATTGACGCTAGTAAGGAGGTTCGTCTAGAAGTAAACTAAGTGTATTGCTGTACCGTCACCAGAATGCAGGGCAAAATCATGACATAAAATTAGCTAACACATTCTTTGAAAATGTGGCACAGTTCAGATATTTGGGAACGACAGCAACAGATCGAAACCTGATTCAGGAGGAAATTAAGAGGGGATTGAACTCGGGTAATGCTTGCTACCATTCAGTTGAGAACATCTCGTCTTCTCGTCTGCTGTCTAAAAAAGTAAAAATTAGAATATATAAAACTATAGTTTTGCCTGTGGTACTGTATGGGTGTGAAACTTGGTCTCTGATATTAAAGGAGGACCATAGACAGAGGGTGTTTGAGAACAGGGTGTTGAAGAGAATATTTGGACCGAAGAGAGATTAACTGACAGGAGGTTAAAGAACTTTGCATAATGAGGAGCTTCATAACTTCCACTATTCGCCAAGTATAATTAGAATGATCAAGTCAAGGAGGATGAGGTAGCATGTAGCACGAATGGGGGAGAAGAGGAATGCATATAGGATATTGATGGGAAAAGCGGCCTCCGTAGTCTAGAGGTAACGTTCCCACCTCATGACTCGTAGTACGCGGGTTCAGATACCCTGCGGAGGTCGTCGAATTTTTAAGGGCGGAAAAATTCAGGGAACAAGTCCTCCGGGAGGGACTTTAAGCTGTGTGTCCCGTGTCGTAACTTTACGGCACGTAAAAGAACCTCATATCCCAAAAGGGGATCACTGAGCCAAATTCCAGGACGTTTCCCGCCCAACAATAGTCTCTAAGGCCTCTGATAGATGGGGGAAGCATTATAGACACCGCTAAGCAAGTGGCCGAACTCGCTTGCTCGGCGGGACTGATGGTACGCACCATTTATCGGTAGGGTATAGGGACTGGTAGAATATCATAGAGGGAAGCACAATAGATCAAACTGGTCGCGGTGCATGGGGAAACCCACCCTCTCTAAATAACTAACTAACTAATATTGATGGAAAGTCAGAAGGAAAGAGACAACTAGGATGACCAAGGTGTAGGTGGGTGAACAATATTAAAATGAATCTGAGAGAGATAGGATGGGATGGTATGGATTGGATTGATCTGGCTCAGGATAGGGACCAGTGTAGGGCTCTTGTGAACACGGTAATGAACCTTCGGGTTCCGTAAAATGCTGGGAAGTTCTTGAGTAGCTGAAAAACTGGCAGATTCTCAAGAAGGGCTCGGCCGCTGGAAGTTAGTTAGAAGTTAGGCTATCGGTCAGCTTGCAACGAGATTTTTTTGTGCTGTGTTTGGTAAAATTTCATACCGACCCTAGTAGATATGAAGGTTTTCTGGATGTGTGCATTATTGACGCGACTGAACTCAATTTATTCTGTTTTTAGATAGAGCAGCGGCAGTTCCCCTTCAGAGAGACATGTACGTATGTAAGGGATCTGTGTCTAGGCGTGTAGTCTTCAAGCTCAAGCAGCGACTCTATTCTTCTAGTGTCAGTTGCTGCGTGGAGTGTCAGAGATAAGAAAACTGGACTAAATTAAAGAAAACGCCTTATGTGTCTTAACGAAAAATGCGTAAATTGAACTCTGGTTTGGTTTTCGAACCATAATTTGTAAAATTTATTTGAGTTCCCTTATTTTAACCGTCGCCCTACAAGGAGACATTTCCAGCTCATTGTATCTGACGGTTAAGGGAACTTCCTGTTCCTCTTAATGATATAATATTCGTTCATCAAGAACTCTGTACAATTGCATTTCGTCATTGGAGAAGGTATCTGCGGATCTCTAGGAAAGCCCCCCTTTTTTTAATTCACTTAGTGGGGGGTGGAGTCCAACTGGGTTCACTCGGCACGGCGGCCACTGATTGGCCCATTGTAGCCTGCCCCGGGTGATTATGATAATGGATTATTTGGTGGAATGAAGATTGGCAGGCCGCGCAGGCCTGCAGGCCCAAGCGGTTAACCGCTAGCTTTCCACCGCGGCGGCCCGGGTTCGATCCCGGGTCTGGTCAAATGGGATTTGTGGTGGACAAAATGGCGTTGGGGCAGGTTTTCTCCGTGTACTTCGGCTTCCCCTGCCAATCTTCATTCCACCAATTGCTCCACAGTCACCCTCACCTATCATCTGGGGCTGGTACAATAGGCCAGAAGTGGCCGCAGTAGAAGGGACTTCATTCCACCTCACTAGTAGTAATAATAATAATAATAGTAATAATAATAATATTGGCAGGGGTACTCGGATAAAACCCGCCCCAGCGCCACTTTGTTCACCACAAATCCCACTTTACCAAACCCGGGATCGAACCCGGGCCGCCGCGGTGGGAAACCAGCGACTAACCGCCTGAGCTATGGCGCGGCCACTAGGAAAGCCTTCGTGGACCATTGAACTCCATGGAGCACACTTTGGAAGTTTAGGATTTAACGAATAAAGCAATCAATTCGTGACCTCACGGCGTTAGCAGCATGGAATTATTCGTAAAGTATATAGGTTCAAAAGATTGTCATTGTAAATACGAGTCTCTCCATGAACTCAGCAGGCTTAACAAAGCTAGCACACAAATTCTCCACTAGACACATCGCAAGAGATTTTAGTCCTATTATACCTCAAGACAGTTCCTTAAGATACAGTTCAATTTGATCATATTATCTGCACTTCGGTACTCCACGTTGAGTATTATGTTTACATGGCCGTGCCATAGCTCAAGCGGTTAGTCGCTGGCTTCCCACCGCGGCGGCCCGGGTTCGATCCCGGGTCTGGTCAAATGGGATTTGTGGTGGACAAAGTGGCACTGGGGCAGGTTTTCTTCGCGTACTTCGGTTTCCCCTGCCAATCTTCATTCCATCAATTGCTACACAATCACCCTCACCTATCATCTGGGGCTGGTACAATAGGCCAGAAGTGGCCGCAGTACAAGGACTTAGTCCCACCCCATTAGCAATAAAAAGTAAAATCATGTTTACATTGTCCATGCTACATGTCCAGCCCAATGTATAACCATTGGTTTAACTGTCTGAATTATATCAGAACAAGAGTTTACATTTCCAAGTGATTATTCCTTTCCCCCACTTCGTGCTTCTCTCTTCCATTCGGACGTGTATCTCTGTGTAGCCTTGACTGTTTCTTTTTTAGACGAGCATAATTCCAGTTATAAATTTCCAGCCAAACTGAAAAAATGCATGCCAGTTGACTTCATTCTGGGTTAAATTGTAACTGGTTTACACATATGTTGATTCTTTATTTTTGCAAGGTTAACGAGATCCATTTTAACTGAATAATACTTCTACTACTAATAATATTTCAATACTGCCAATGACATAAAAGGTAAAGTTGTCACTATGCTTAACTAATGAAGCACTACGCGATCAAGGCGTGTATGGGGGAGTGGATATATAGATCTACATTTTCTTGATCTCGGCACTAGTTGGAGATGAGTGGTCAGCTTCACGCCCCGGCCACTTTACCTGTGGGGAAGAGCCTCCGGTACCCATTGGATACGAGGCTGGGTGGACCCCAGAGCCGGTCTGGACGATGTGGAGAAGAGAAAATTCTTAGCACACCGGAAATCGAACTCCAACCCCTCTGTGTCCAGCCTGTAGCCAGTCGCTCTACCGATTGTACTACCCCGGCTCTGCTAATGACATTTCGACAGCAAATTGTTGAATGCGATACATACTTCAGTGCGATAACGTGGAAGCCCATTGTTTCCTTACTAGCAAAGTATTGCAGTATTGTTAGGCGTAGTCAGGCACATTTCGATAGCATTCAGATGTGTGTTA